CCGGTCTTTACGAAAATCCTATTTATTTTGCACTAGAGAGTCTTACAGTAAAGCTAAAGTGAGATAGAAGTAGCTGAACCAATCAAGATCGCAACTTCGCCCGCACTTTTTTCTCCTACCTGTTGCGAAAATTGTCTGCAAATTTTTGCGAGTTGAAAACTGTGTGAACACCTCTATCGGACCATGCTTAGCACAGATCTTTATTTGAATTGTTCGTCAGATTATGATGTTACAAAATCGCCTTCTCATGAATTCTCTTTCAAATTCGAAAGTCGTGTAATTTGGCAGATATTCTATCCTACAATGTGCCACCAGCAGCAAAACAATGTAAGAAATGTTGTTAGCACGTCGAGTACAATACCGCTCACAGAATGTGCAAAATTTCCCTGAATATCGCAAAATTCCGAAAATTCCGCGAAATTCCTGGAATTTCGCGAAACTTCGCGAACTTTCAGGAGTTTAGCGAAATTCCGGAAAGTTCGCGGAATTTTCGGAATTTCGCGACATTCACGGAAATTTTGCAAGTTATGTGAGTGGTATTGTAGAATGCAAGAAGATGCCCAACGATTGTTACAAGTGCGCAACGATACCAGTGTGGAAGAACAAGGGGGATATAACAGACTGCTCTACATACAATACCGCTCATAATTCGTCAAAAAAGTCGCCGGACTGCGGCGGAGTGCGCTAGAGTGCGTCGGAGTGTGGCGGAGTGTGGCGGAGTGCGCTAGAGTGCGGCGGAGTGTGGCGGAGTGCGGCGGAGTGCGCTAGAGTGCGGCGGAGTGTGGCGGAGTGCGGCGGAGTGCGCTAGAGTGCGGCGGAGTGTGGCGGAGTGCGGCGGAGTGCGCTAGAGTGCGGCGGAGTGTGGCGGAGTGCGGCGGAGTGCGCTAGAGTGCGGCGGAGTGTGGCGGAGTGCGGCGGAGTGCGCTAGAGTGCGGCGGAGTGTGGCGGAGTGCGGCGGAGTGCGCTAGAGTGCGGCGGAGTGTGGCGGAGTGCGCCGCACTCCGGCGACTTTTTTGACGAATTATGAGCGGTATTGTACATACATACATACATACATATATACATACATACATACATACATACATACATACATACATACATACATACATACACACATTCAGCTTTATATATAAGATATATTTTTTGTGCTCTAGGATTCATTGTTAGGTAAGCACCATTAAAAGCGTGTTTCGGCAAAAGGTCTTCAGTTTCTCACATTTTCGCAGCCTTCTCGCACCTTCAACCCATTGGGGTTGAAGCGCTGAATTGTGACGACGCCTCTAATATAAGCAAATTTCCTGCCACTTTTAATTGTTAGCATAGAAATTTCAGAAGTACATTTTGGCTTGCCTGGATGCAAAATTACCAGTTCGTAACATTTTTGAAACTCCCCATTCTTTGCAACATTTTTGACTTAGGATTCTCCATTTTGAAACCGCTGATACGCCCTAGGTGAACGCTTGTTTTCTTTCAGCATTCAGAACAAAACTTGTCGAGGTTTTACGAGGCTAACAGCGGGAAGAAGGAGCAAAACCTAGCCGCGGACGCAGCTTCATTAGCCGCAAGGGCTTAGACGCTCGGTTTACGACAGGATAGATATGACCGTCGTACTTGTTTGCTGACCAATAGTTGCGTCTTCGTCTCCTAATCCCGACAGTAGACTTCAGACTGAGATGTTTCTGTAGGATCCATATTACAATGTTTGAGTGGCATTACAAGAATCTCTTGACGGCGACACACCCGTATAGCCCCGCGGGAAGTAGTAAAATCACACCACCACCCGAGGGCTGGCTTCCAGGCTGTACATGTCTAGCAGGTAAGAGACATGGCTCTTAATCATTCATACAAGAATGAGAAACAGAATAAGAAATGTTACATTCCAATTCGACTCCTGAGCAAAACACAGCTCGCGCGGGTGTCGTTGCAGTTGCACTACGCAGACTTGCTGCTGCGAAACGACCTGTACGATCCAGATTTCAAGAAAAAATAAAAGATGTTTAAATGTCATTATTAGAGCATTGGATATTTAGTATGTATTAAATGTGCGATGTCTAAAACATCCCATTATAAAGACTGAACTGTATGCAGTTGTATCAGAGATGATTTACAGGAGTAGTCATCCCTTCCAAACGCTTCTGAAAAGGAAACCTTGTTGAAACTCAACTCAAAAAGCATTAGATAGCCTCTGTCCAATTCCAAATTCTAGAGCTCAAAGAATTCAGGGTGATTGGACTTAATCGGTAATTTGTGAGCATCTTGTTTTGTGAAAGCTCATTTACTGAAAATTGTGGAGATTTCACGCGAAATCCTCAGGGCCGGTAGTCTGGCCGAAACTCCGAGTTTAAAGCTGCGCGTTAACTCAGAGTTAACTCTGAGTTAACGCGCAGCTTTAACTCGTTTTGAAACTCAGAGTTAACTCCGAGTTTCAGAAACGAAACTCGGAGCTTCGTTCTGCTACTTGCGGAGCCGCTATATTTGTTGAGGAGCTACTACATGCTTCATCGCAAAACACGCCGACTAGATTGGGAGTTGAACTTCCGTTGCTCGGCGCGAAGTTCCTACTTCTAGACCACTAGGCTACACAGCACCCTGCCGACATCGCCATTCTGCCGCCATTAGTACTCGTTGCTTATATCCTACGTGTTCAGACACGTCAGCTAGCATGGTACGTCTTCGCTCTAAGCAGTGGATTCATTAAAATACCTATACATACTCCCCCCCCCCCCCCCACCCGCCAATTGTTTTTATCCCCAGCTGCATTCCTAAATAGGATAACTAGAGGTGGCTGCTTTATTGACAAAACATAATTTAAGTGTCAAAATTCAGCTATCTACATGCCTCTATCATTTTGATAATATTATACTATCGGCTGGCTGCGGCGTGGCTGACGCCACGCACCTTCATTCAAAAAAATTTTTTGGCCCCCCCCCCGGACAGAAATCCTGGGATCGCCACTGGCTGGCTGATGAGTGTTCTTTATTCGAATATTTCGTTCATTCGACAACTCGGAAGAATAAATTATTCGAATATTTGAATTTGCGAGGAATTTAAAGAGACAGCTATACAATTCAACTATACGTATATTTTAGAAATTTCGGAAATCCTTGTTCAAATGTTCAAATCGACTATAGCGACTGAATATTTGAATACTGCATGCGAGTTTTCGAATAATTATTGCATTCGATATTTGATGATTCAGTTGTTCGTTTATTCGAATACTCATTAGATCAAGTTCGGTTAATCGAATAATCGAAAGTTCGAATTTTGGAATGTGCTCATATTCGAGTAACAATTCGAATAATATAAAAACGGAAATAAGTATTATTTGCTCATTTGGAAATTTTTAAATCCAATATTCGTTATTCATTTGTTCGATGAATTTTCAAAGATATTGTTTGATATTTGTTCATTCGATGAAAACCTGCGTTCGTTATAACTATATCACAAACTGGCAAAAAGCATAGCTGGGTTGGTTTTTTTTTCAGCATGGTTTGATTTCGGTGAAAAAACTCTTGCGAAAATCTGTTACATTTACATTTTTGGAGAAGAAGGTGGTTGGAACTGTATATTGGTTTCTCAATGCTGATAGTTGTGTGGTTGAGAAGGTCATGCGAAAATGATAATGAAGTTTAAGAAGACAGAGACGTTTGTGGCATTGAGGGTCGTTCTTAAGACCACTTTTAGTGCATGTGTTTTTGGAAGATATGGATGAGACTTGAATCATGGCTTTGATTTCACAGCGCATGCAGCTGCTTAGAGGTTAAAGATGGAATATGACACTGATTTCTGGCTGCTAAAAACCATGAATTGCATTTTATGCAAAATCATTAGCATATTCATAATCAGCATGGCAAACAACCCCACCACATCAAGTTTCAGCGAATTTTGTGATCTTCGCTCAATTACCGTATAGCTACTGTAATCCCGATTTGTGGCCCCGTAGCGAAAGATAGATATCATATTCGTGATCAGCATGCGAAGTAACCCCATTGTACCACGTTTCGACAAAACTCGTAAGTTTCGCCCAATTACAGTATTCCTACCGTAACCGCGCTATATGGGCGAATGATGAAAAATGAACATCATCTTCGTGTTCAGCGTGCCAAGGAACCCCACAATACCAATTTTCACTCGATTTAGTAATTTTCATCCAATTACCGTACAGCTACCGTAATCCTGACTTGTGGCCGTAGCGAAAAATGAGTATTATATTCATGTTCAGCGTGCCAAAATCCCACTGTGCCAAGTTCCAGGCAATTTCGTAATTTTCGCCCAACTACCGTATTCCTACCGTAACCGCGCTACATGGGCGAATGGCGAAAAATGAGCCTCGGATTCGTGATCAGCATATCCGATAACCCCCGGGACCAAAATTTTACAAAATTTCAAATTTTTGTGTTCAACGGTGCATACCATGATACCCCCATCATGCTTCATGAAACTCGGAGCAAAATCTACCCCGGAGGACTTTTTTCTGGAACTCTGCGTTAACGCACTATTTCTCTTTCTCTAACGAAACTCGGAGTTAACTCCAAGTTTTGCGGGCTGCTGAAACGCGCAGCAAACTCGGAGTTAACGCGCAGCTCAGTTGCGCGTTAACTCGCGTAGCGTCTCGCGTGGAACGAATTACGCTACGTTTCCATACTTGGCATAAATTACGTCTTGCGGGGTATCCTGCCATATAACCCTTTCCCCAATTTGGTTCTTATGCAGGTGTTAATGGTTTCCGAAAGGTGCGCGTTAACTCAGAGTTAACTCTGAGTTAACTCTGAGTTTGAGCTGCGCGTTTCGACAGGTTTACTACCGGCTCAAATGTTTGCTTTGTAACCCCCGCAACAACTCTCGTCATAGCCTTTTGCCTCATATCTTTTGAGCAAATTTGCTTCACTATATATCTGCAAAATCAGTGCGTGGTCAGGATGTAACATTGACTCGGTAAATTTACAAACAGGATGTAACATTGATTAGGTAGATTCACAATGTATATGGTTTTATTTCAGAACTTGCGCAAGTTTGCTGGAGAGACCCTGAAGAAAGTTTGCACTCCCGTCGTTTGACAACAAGATATTCGATACGATAACATTGCTTCATCAATGAAAATTCGTTTCATGTTGAGCAAATGTCTTTTACTGTTTGTTCCAGCACTCAATAGCACCTGTGCTTCTTAGACTTCAGCAAAATAAGCGTCTTATGGCCTCCGAATTCAAGGCAATCATCGAAGTCCCCTTTGTGAATAACCTTTCGGCTTTAATAATAACACTGACGAAAGGCTACGTCATTTTTTACTTTTTTTAACATTATCTTGTACATAGACTTGCTTAATGAATTCCGGCGCAGTCACTGATTTGTACATAAGTTTAACCCGGATCTCTACAGTGCTGGACGCTATTATAATTCACTTCGAAGTCACCGTAAGCCTCTTCGATGAACATGTCTGAAATTCTCTCTCTACACATACAAGACTACAATCGTTCCTCAAAGCGGTTTCCAATCTCTCTTCTTGAAATTCGAATGGGACATATTGAGAAATCTCATATCTGAACCAGCGGGGCACTGCAATAAGTCAACTTGTCCTTTTTACCGCTATTACATTCTTTGATTAGTTTTTTTATACAGTTTCGTTTTGCAGTGTAAAACTTTGCAACATTTGGAACCTGTCGTTTCTAATCGAAGAGAAATGGTCAACTTGTTTTTTTAATTTACGAAATCACTGAAAGTCAGTCTGCTTCAGCAAACAGCTGGTTTCATAGTGTGAAGCTTCTGTTCATTCCAATGAGACTCATGGAATCCGCGCTTTTGCAGTAAATAATGCAAAGCCTTGCGTAATTTTTAAAACCCATGAATTTCTGTGATGGAAGCGGTACGTCAACTCTTCAACAGTAATTTTGTGTGCATAGCTGGAAAACAGACCTGATTCAAAAAGAAAAATAGTGATTTCAGAGTCTTATCCAATCTACTGCTTACAGATTTTCGAAGAGAATTCTGTAGAACGCAAATTGCATCACAACACAAAAACTGAAGCCCTTTGCATGACTGCAATTGTTGGCGATGTACAAGGCTTATCAATTGCAGAATCGAATGTACCAGTATTTCCGCTCCCGCTTACTTGGGCTCTGCACCTTTTTTGCGAACATGCTCTCTTATCGCTTTCCCACCACGAGTGGTCAGAAGTAGAAGCGGCCAATTCTAACAAGTTGCATACTATTCGATGCATCATAGAACCTTGGTTTTAATCTGTTTCTCATATATGCAGAACGCTTTTGCAGGCGAATTTATGAGCAGCTTTACGCGGAAAAATCGTATACAAAAATCGCGAGATTGGGCACGACAATTATATCTTTTAGCTCCCCTCTAAGTACGGGCCATATGTAATGAACGTGAAACATCCTGGTCCAGCATTGAGCCGAGTAAGGCTCTGTACGGCCAAGTTTGTCCTTTACATGCCCTACTTTTTAGCGAAATGATGACCTTTAGCGGCTAAAATTTCATCCACAAAAGTAAATGAAATTATTAGCCGTTAAAGGTCAGGAAAAGGAAGACAGATTTAGAGTCTTTTTCACGCTGTACCTAATGATATAAGCTTGCTTGAATTTGGGCACTCCGATTTCTGACCATTCCCTTCTAAGCAAGCATGCAAAAATCATTATATTAGGTTGTAAAGAAAGTTCCCGGGCACTTCTGGAAATTTTCATTTTCAAACGCATTGTTTGGCGCTCGATCGGACTTGCACACCAAATTTTTTTACACCCTTCAGTAGAGGGAAGCCTGAAGTTTTTAATGCGCTTTCTGACTTTTATCGATGCCAAGACATGTTTGATCTGCACATCAAGAAGAGAAATCTTTCCAACCACAAAAATGTCACAATATTTTTCCCTACGGCCATTTTTTGTGCAATTCAAAGAATTTCATCCAAATCATGGGTGATCCGATTGAGAAGCCAGTTAACTTCTGACCCGCAGCTGCACTAGATTTGCGATCTGCGCTTAGAAATTACAAGCTGTCGAACTTGCCTCTGACTGCAACTCTTTCGCAGCTGGCTTCGCTTCTACGAAGATTGCCACGCCTGGATGATGAGTCCAAAAGGTGTGCAAGGCATTACTCCAACAATGTTCCCAGTAATCAAAGATTTGTTCTTTTCTGTGCAGAACTAGAGAACTTCAAAGTCACTTGCTCAAAAAATGGTGCATTTTCAAAGGCAAAAATGGCCGATTTTTCAAACTTTCTAGAGGAGATTTTTTTGCAGGTGGTCCTTCAAAAACATGAATGGTCTCCGTAACAGCCTCAACAGAACTCTATATGATTACAGTATCTGGGATCTCCAGCTTTCCCTGCCTGAGATAATATTGCACAAATAGACCACTTTTCGCGACGACTTTTTTCCCTTCTGCGCATGCTGGTGGGCCGCAGTGAGGCGCTGAGAAGCCAGCAAGAAAAATTATGTTAAGGACAAAATTGTCTTTGCAGTGAAGTTTGTAGCTCCAGAAAAGAATCAATTTGCTTGAAGTTGCAACAATTTGAAAAAAAATTTCGCAAATGCCCGGGAACTTTCTTTACAACCTAATAGATCATGTTTGTTTGAAATGCAGAGTTTAGACGAGGCGGCCACGCTGAACGAGGCACTTAACTTTACTTAACTTCTCTAAACCCTGTTATAAATCACATCCAGTCCGAACAATGAAAACCAAGTTTGATGGTGTAAAAGATGCCTGCCATGGTAAGGCTGGAGCTTTCAGTGAATATTAGCGACTATGCGGAGTTTCTCAGAGCGCCTTTCACTTCATTCACCGAAGAGGGTAAGCATCAGATGGTTATCAGTTGTTTAGTGAAGCAAAATGATTCAATGATTTTTAAAGCAAAACTTCAGTGATCACTTTTCTTTGAAGTAGAGTAAAGGTCTTAGATGCTGCGACTATTTCATCCTTCATAGCTGCAGACAAAAAAATTTGAAGATCAAAGACGACAGTGATTTGAATAAGCCAGCGGATTTCTAGTAGTGTTTAGCTTTCAGGTGCAAGCAATTTCAAATACTCCTGTTCATTTTCGTTTCGAATCAACGAAACTGGAAGTCGTCTTGAGGGATGATGGCAGAATAGTAAACACTAACACAGTACAACAAAATCTCATAGGACCATCGACAACAAGCGCAATTTACGGTAATGATTACAGCGGACGGTGTGTATCGTTTGTTCCCCAGAGAGGTTGTTATAGGTTACTGTTGTGAATGTAAATGATTAGTTGTTCCTCATAGTGATCTCCCTCGCACTGTCGAATGCAACCTCAGTGCGCAAGAAATGAGAGCAATAAAAGGCACCCACTGTTAGCCTCATTCAGTTCTGTTGTTCACTCACTTGCCTCTGCTTTTAATTTTATTCATTCTAGATATCGTAAAGACATTCGTAACTTAATATGCGTAGTGCGCACTAAACACGCTAACTGATGAACAGTAGAATTAAAACTTACTCATTTTCAGTGATTTCTGCTTGTTTCCTTGTCTCTTTTGTTTTTGTTGATTACATGTTAGTGAATAGAACACATTTCTACACTTTGTTAACTAGAAAATGTTTCACTGGAAAACTACCAGTAAGGGTGCCGTCGCTAATAGGGCTTAGCGTGCAGTTTCACATATTAAGTTATAAATGACTTGAAGTTGAATGTTCTTGTCTACTCTTGTGCCGCTCAAGTACAAGAAAGCAAGAAAATATCCGGAGTCTGAAGACACAACAGTGGCGATCAGAACGAAGACACGTTGAGTCGAAGAAGCCGCAGAGAGTAGTCGTAACTTCACGGCAACAGAAGTAATCGATCAGAATGGCAAAGATGAAATCAGAGGAGATGCTATTTATGCTAAAGGAGTTCAAAGAAAATTATCGAAGCCTCAGAGAACTGATCAAAGAATGAAGAAGAGAAATGTTGGAGATATTGAAGCACATTACTGACACTGAACGAAGCAGTACCTCAACCGAAATTCCAAATATGATGTCCGCGCTCGGCAAAAGAATCGAAAAATTTCGAAATCGAAAAAATTCCTTCGATCCCGAGGCGGATATGTGCTTCAGCAGAAGATGGTAGAAGGAAATTTTTGCAGGAGACGCGAAACAGCTCACAGAGAGCGCCAGAATGGTGCTGTTGTGCGAAAAACTGGACAAGGATTGTCTCGAAAGGTATCAGAGGCATGTGCTGCCGAGAAAGTTAACCGCCATCAAGTTTAAAGAAACGGTCGATATAAGCAACTGTTTTACGTGAAGATTTTCGAACTTACCATGAGGTACCAATGTGTGAAGCTGGAGAAGGCGGATTCCGAAGATTACTTCATGTATACCAATCGAGTGAGCGAACTGTGCGAAAAGCAGAAGATCCATGAGCTCCACAGCGATGGGATCAAATGCCTTTTGTGTATATTTGGGTTAAAGAGTCAGAAAGAAGCTGACATAGAGCAGCGACTCATTGCCGTCCTGGATTAATAATACAAGGCCGGACAAAAAATTCGCTACAAGATCTGTATCTGGAATGCGAAATCTTCCTGACTTTCAAGAAAAATAGTAAGACTGTAGCTTTGCTTAGAAATCGTCGAAGCAACAAGCAAGGAAGTGCCGAAAAATTGGAGTGCTTGAATAGCAGTGGTGGATACTTTTCCAGAGATGGCAAAGCTAAGCTGTGGTTTTGCAAGAAATGCAAGAAGACAGGTCATAAGGAGGAGATCTGCGAACAACCAGCGGAAAGAACAGCGCTTACTCAGCAGCTTCCAAATTAGAGAACACACAGAAACAGCGATAGCAATAAGACGAAAAATTCGAATAAAACAAGACGTCATGTGCACAGCGTTGCGAAGATTCGGACGCGATGTTATAAGTGAGTTCGGTTCGAGTATATGTGGGAGCGAAAGTAAATAGCCATCCACTGTTTTCTACAGGATACAGAATCAGATATCATCTTGATAAACGAAGCGGTTTGGAAAAGTATGGGCACTCTACAGTTGGAAAAGACAAACGTGATTGTCAAGAATGCTAACGGAGGCTCCATAAAAGTTCATGGGAAGTTATGGTGTGGGTACGAGATCAAAGGAACTATGAGCGAAAGCTACGCATACTGACACCTCACAACTCAATGCTAAGACTAAAGTGAATTCAGAAAAATTAAGAAATATCCTTTCACTTGAGCAGGATGCTGAAGTGAAATCGGAACAGAACAGTGACATCGCTCAGAAGGGAACGGGCAGGTCCTATGAGAGAAACCTACCTGAGGTCTGCAAAGAAGGATTAGGTTTGTGCACAAGGAGAAGGCGCACACGCAGGTGGATGGAAACGTTCGTCTTTCTAGTGTCTAGTGTTCAAGGCTTGTAGGCCTGTCCCACATGCTGCGCAAGCTGTCGAAAAAGAGCTTGAAAGGCTATTGGAGCTGAAGGTTATAAGTCCCTTGACACATAGCGAATGGGCAGGTCTTATCCAGGGTCAAGCGTGGGGTGCGGCACGTCACACCTGGGGGGTCGTATTGAGGAGTCAAAAGGGGAGGGGGTCGTAGTTGGGTAATCTGATAATAGTGATAACATGATATTCGTATCATATCCA